CGCAGACGACGTGGACGCACGGACGCAGATATTCACCTGGCAGTGAACAACGTGGAACTGACCGCAATTTTCCAACCCACCCAGTTTTTTTTTCTAACACCCACCACCATCGCCCCTTTGCAGCTGCCGTAACGAGCGCGCGCTGGGGGGCTCATTCGGCATAGTACGGATCTATGGGATGCGGTAACCGTTGGCGAGCAGAAGTCGGTTTTTAAGGCGATTATTGGATCGGCTGTTAGGGGTTAATCCGCTCGGGGAATCAGAACGGGCCAAACCAAAAGGAAACGTGGCAAAGTTTGTCGTGTGGCGCTGTCGCCGTGCGCACGAGAATGAAGAGTCTCACCTTAGAGGAGAGAAGCCGAGGACGGTCCGGCGGGTAGTCAGGCTGCACGGAGTGTGAGCAGACAGGAGGAACTCCTTGGTAGAGGAGCAGCCCTTGAAATCTGACTCAGCTCTGCCCTGCCCCCTCCTCCTCCTCTCCCTCCCTCCCCATCCTCTTCCTCCCTCCCCATCCTCTTCCTTCTCCCAATCCAGGAATCCCTCCGTCATCCCCGTCCCTCCTCCTCCCCCAAGGGAACCGTCCTGGACCGCACTCCTTCAGCGTTTTCCAACACGCCGGAGACGATCCAATATTGTCCGCAGGAAAAAGTCCAGGTCCCCTTCGAGACGGTCACTCAAACCCGAAGTGCAATGTGTGCCGAGACGCAGAGCAGCGCTCGTGAGCATGCAGGTTTTTTTTAGTGGACGGCCCAATGTTGACATTTCCAGGAGAGGACGGCTGACGCGTTTCTCAGTACGGGCCCATTCACATTTCTGGAAACGCGCAGACATCGGTGTCATTCATTTTGAACGACGCGACCAACGCACTACTAACAGAAAAAAAAAGAAGCTTGGGTCCATTGTTTCCTGCGATAGGCCCCATTTACACCTAGGCATTCACGGAACGCCTAGGTGTGGGCGAGGACTTAGGGCCTATTCGCAATATTGAGTCGCAGGGACGCCTGTTACATGCGTCAGGGCGATACGTTGCCATTTGTTCTGGTTGACGGACGTGCGTTGCGCGCATTGCGATGCACCATCAGAAATGGCAACCCAATCGTAATGCGCGTCAATGCGTGCGCCGCTATGGTGTGAATGGGCTCCAATGTGCACTTCCAGCCTATTGAAAACAAGTGGGACGCCATTTTTTGTGTGGCATTTTTACCTTTCCCAGAAGTCTTCAGGGTGGTCATGTGACATGTGGGGTCTCCTTTATGGTGCAGGGAGGTCCGCCATGAACCGTCGCACTGTCATGGCAGGGTGCCCCGGTTATGTCCTTCCAAAGGCGGGTCTTTGATGCCCCACACCAGGGGTATCCAAACTCCGGCCCCCCAGCTGTGGTGAAACTACAAATCTCATGATGCATCTCTCTCCTGTGAGAATCTTGCAATGCCTCATGGGATTTGTAGTTCAACCACAGCTGGAGGGCCGGAGTTTGGCTACCCCTGCCCCACACTCACTGGATGTCCTCAGTCTTCCACATTGAATGGTGCTGGGCAGTGGTGGGCAACGTTGGCCCTCCGGTTGTTGTGGAACTACAAGTCCCATGAGGCATTGCATGACTCTGACAGCCACAGGCATGACTCCCAGAAGCATGATGGGATTTGCAGTTTCAGCACAGCTGGAGTGCTGAGGTTGCCTACCCCTGGTGTTGGCCATTAACCTGGAAGACTGAGGACATCTAGTGGCCAAAAGCAATTACTGCAGAGAGAACGAACATTGCAACCAGTGACCAATAAAACATATATATACCCGGCAACACATGATGGGGGCATATTAATAACGCAGCGAATCAGACATTCAGGTGCATGTGTTTTAAATGGCAATTATGGCATCGTTGTCCAGAAAAGCTCCAACTTCTCTCATTGAAATGAGGAAGCATTTCCTCAGTCTCCCCTCCCCCAGTGATCAGTGTACTGCAGGCAGGAGGAAGCAGATCCTCAGTCTCCTAACTTTGTAGCAAGTTTCCAGGTGAGTGTGCAGCAGGGGGCTGATCTGTGTCAGTCATTTGTGAACACAGCCAAGAGCGGCGAGGGCGGCATCTCTCAATAGAACGGCAGGGTGGTATTATTTTTAATGGCTGTTTGTGGCCATGTTATGATGCCCGGGGGAAGGGAATAGTTTTAGCAATGTGAACGCCTTTGCATCAATTCGTGACAGAACCTGTATCGTTGCATCAATTTCGGTGCCATCCACTTCCATGGCAGGCGAATGCAAAGCTCAACACACACCTTACAATCTCCTTTAGATCTACCGACAAGTATGTAGTAGAAGAGCCCATCTGATTGGATGCAGGTTGATTGGATAGGTGAGGCGGGTCCTCATATTACAGAGTTTTGGTAAATCTAACTGAGATTGTATGGTGACCCTTAGATCTACCAACAAGTATGTAGTAGAAGAGCCCATCTGATTGAATACAGATTGATTTCATGGATCAGGTAGGTCCTCATTTTTCATAGTTTTTGTAAATCTAAAGTTGATTGTACAAAGATTGTATGGTGACCATAAACGTTACAATCCGACCATGCAATCTCCTTTAAATTAACCAAATCTATGTAATATGAGGACCTACCTCACCTATTCAATCAATCTGCATCCAATCAGGCAGGCTCTTCTACTACATACTTGTTGGTAGATCTAAGGGTCACCATACAATCTCCATTAGATTTACCAAAACTATGTAATATGAGGACCTGTCTCACCCGTCCAATCAATCTGCATCCAATCAGGCAGGCTCTTCTACTACATACTTGTTGGTAGATCTAAGGGTCGCCGTACACGTTCCAATCTGATCATACAATCTTCGCACAATCAACTTTAGATATACCAAATCTATGTAATACGAGGACCTTCCTAATCTATCTAATCAGGAAGGCTCTTCTACTACAAAGTTGTTGGTAGATCTAAGCGTCGCCATACAGTCTCCATTAGATTTACCAAATCTATGTTATAGGAGGACCTGCCTCACTTATCCAATCAATCTGCATCCTATCAGATGGGCTCTTCTACTACATACTTGTTGGTAAAGGAGATTGTACTGTGTATTGCCAGCTTCAGGGAGCTGATGACCCCCGCCAGGCGTCTGCGGATGGTCGCCGACAGTGTTTCTGGTCATGGGCAAAGTGCCGTAACCCATAGCAACCATAGATCGCCATCTCTAGCTCCGCCCACACACGAGACCGGACACAGAGGTTTAATTGATGTTTATTATAAACGTACATTGTGTGCTGTACGGCAATCCGCGGCAAAAGTGCGTACAAATCTCTCCCACACCAGAAGATCTACAATCTATCCAGACATCGGAAGTCGTGAAAGGCGGCAAAACCGTCCTATAAAAAAAAATAATCCTCATCTCTATACGATGATACAAAGTTTGTGCTTCTACTATATACGAGTTCAACGTGGAATTCGGCGAATGATTCCACCGCGCGCATGTGCGGCCAATCTTCAGCGTCAAATCCTGTGCAGGGCAACCGCGGCCCTGCAGCTCGGGTGGAACTACAAGTCCCGTGAGGCATTGTAGGACTCTGCCAGCCACAGGCGTGACTCCCAGAGCCAGAGGCATTATGGGATTTGTAGTTCAGCACAGCTGGCGGGCCGAGGTTGCCTCCCCCTGCTGTGGGACATCTTCAACCCGAAAGACTGAGAACACCGAGCGGCGAATGATTCATCTTTCCTAACCGCAATACATTCGCCGCCCTACAAATCAGACCCCAAAATCCTCATTCAGGTTCCGATTGGCCTTTGAACCCGGCAGCGACGCAAAGCGTTTGCGCCTTGGGGCGATGGCGGCAAAACTGGTCGAAAAATCGTTTTATTATTAACACTTTTTTTTTTTTTACTGCGTCATTTTAAATTCACAAATATATAAAATGTAACAAAATAGAACATGTGACCCGAAACTAGAAAGCGATGCTCATGAGAAATCCAACCGTTACATCGGATTGGTTTGCGCTGGTAAGTCATGTGATCTGCAGTCAGGCGTTGCCTCCAATCACGGCGAGGCGTTGTGCAATTAAATGGAGATCAACTCCAATCAAATCTATTCATTGCATTCTTTACTGGGTCCAGTCTGTATACAAGGCCTGAACAATTCATCATGGCTGCTCCCTCTATCTTCTTCACCATAATGCTCTGTACGTGGAGCTGATGCTGTGCAGTCACATGCCTACCCTGCAGGTGGACAGAGCTGCCATTTTATCATGACCACATCCTGCCACCAACCATGGTGGGGATAGCTGTAGACCTGTCAACCCCCCAGCATAGGGCTAACTCAGCCATCCTTAAAGTGATCACTTTAAGAAGTCCCCTTGTTATTGCATTTCATCATGGCTACCTCCTGCCTCTAGTCATAGAGGGGATAGGTGTAGACCTGTCACAGCATGGGGCTAACTCAGCCATCCTTAAAATGATCACTTTAAGAAGTCCCCTTGTTATTGCATTTCATCATGGCTACCTCCCATCACCAGGCATAGGGGGGATAGGTGTAGACCTGTCAACCCCCCAGCATGCGGCTAACTCAGCCATCCTTAAAGTGATCACTTTAACACATCACCCTGTTACGCCATTTCATCATGGCTACCTTCTGCCTCCAGCCATAGGGGGGATAGCTGTAGACCTGTCAACCCCCCCTAACTACCTCCTCCTTAAAGTGATCACTTCAAGAGGTCCCCCTGTGCTGCCATTACACTACACAGAATTATCTCCACATGTGGTACATGCTAAACCCCAAACCCCCCCCCTGCTGGTGTAGATACATACTGCAAGCTGGATTCGCTCACGGCGGACATTATTTAAAGGGACTGGTCTTATACGACCTTTGCTGAGTAATTATTGCTTTCAGTACAATCTGGGTATCCTCGGCCTTATTTAATAAGGAAAAAGTGCCATGACGATGTGCAAGATGAGCCAACCCATAGCAACCAGGCAGCCATGTTTTTCTTCCGCAACAGGAAGTGTGCTCAGCTGCACTCTAAATGTCCTTCCTGCCAACAGGTGACACCCCACGTGTGTCCCAGTGGTAGTAAAAGTTAAATGTCTATAAAAATACGGGTTATATTTTATATATATATATATTGGCACAGCAGATGGACACCAATGGGGTGACCAATACAGGCAACCACTTAAAGTGGCCACGTCATCCTACTTAAAATAGAAACGGCTGTGGCCCACCTGACAGCCGGCACCTTAAAAGGTGTCCAAAAGAGCATTTATTTCTTAAAGGGTTAATAAAGAGGGCCCCGGGTATCTAACACCCCGGCAGGGGGAGGGGGGGGGGATTTGGAAGACATGACATACCCAACACTAGATGTGAAATTGCTCTTCTAATACGTTATTTAAATATGGTCACATGACCACTGTAAGCGTTACCATTCCTGCAGACCTTCACCATCTCCCCACGTCTTCAACCCCACTAAGAAAACAAGGTTAGTCACATTTAAAAAGAGGACCTGTCATGAAAGAACTCTGGAGGTTGCTATTGCAGACTACACTTGAAAGTGACAGTTGCCGCTCAAGCTGATCCTCCATCTTCAGTACTGACCCGAAACAAGTCTGGAAATCCCCATCCAGACACTGGTTCGATCCCAGACTTCTCCTAATATCATGATGCCACCTACAACCCACTTAGAAATACTCTCCAATGTGCTGGAAGATCTCTGCTGCTTCCTTTTCTTCTACAGGAAATGGAACTTCCTTTCACTGTGCGGAAAAGTCACTGCGTTGAACCTAAATGGGCAAGCATACAAAAAACAAGGGCTGGACAGGTAGTTACAGAATCCAGGAACCATTCAGGTCAACCTGGGGTCCAGAAAGGCATTTTAACTGTGTTCACGGTTAGAAGCTACAAAGTATTTGGAGCAATTTGTACGGATCTGTGTCCCTTGAGTGGCCCCGCCTATAGACCCAGAGGTCTGAGAAATGTTGCCCACCTCCTCAGCCCACAACTAGAGGATGACAAGATGCAAATTTGTACAAATTTGTGGTCTGGAAGGAAAGATTACCAAATTGCTCTGAATTCTTGATGTCATGGCCTCAGCGCTGTGGTTCCCCTTAAGGGAACACAGGTGCCTGTTAAAGGGTATGTCCCTCTGTTCATTCAGGATTCTCTTGGTAGACTTCAACCCCACCTACTGATACTTACCCACCAACGCTGCTCTGGACGCCTGAGTCTAACTCCTATGTAAGCTCCATGTCAGAGTCTATCTAGGATTAGTGACCTTCTCCCCTCCCCAAATTGACCAATTTCCTGCCCTGGCAATCGGCCACTTACAGCACTGCATCCTGGGAGGTTACATGCTCCCCCATAACAGGAAGAACCGGGTATTTCCAAGGGTTCCGACAACCAGTAGAGCAAGGTGAAGGTGAGTATCAGTGGGGTTGGAGTTGGGTGTTCAAGAGAACTTGTCCCTTTGGCCTTCCAGGGCAAAGGGACAGGTCCTCTTGAAAATCCAAAAAGGACATGTCCCATTGCCTTGGAAGGCCAAAGAGCAGGATTCACTTTCGCAACAGTCAAGGTTTAAAAACTCTGGCGCCATATTTGTTTTTTTAGGCCTGTTGGTGACCTGGGAACCCACCTTGTCTCATTGCCGTGGAAGGCCAAAGAGTAGGATTCCCTTTCGCAACAGTCAAGCTTTAAAAACTATGGCGCCATATTTGTTTTTTTAGGCCTGTTGGTGACCTGGGAACCCACCTTGTCCCATTGCCTTGGAAGGCCAAAGAAAAGGATTCCCCTTTCACAACAGTAAAGGTTTAAAAACTCTGGCGCCATATTTGTTTTTTTAGGCCTGTTGGTGACCTGGGAACCCACCTTATCCCTTTTGCCTTGGAAGGCCAAAGGGTAGGATTCCCTTTCGCAACAGTAAAGGTTTAAAAACTCTGCCGCCATATTATTTTTTTAGGCCTGTTGGTGACCTGGGAACCCACCTTGTCCCTTTTGCCTTGGAAGGCCAAAGATAAGGATTTCCCTTTCACAACAGTAAAGCTTTAAAAACTCTGGCACCATATTTGTTTTTTGGGCCTGTTGGTGACCTGGGATCCCGCCTTGTCCCTTTTACAGATTTTTTTAAAGCTTAGTTATGTCCATTTGGCACAATTTTACCTAAATGCCCTCAAAAAGTTTATCTTGTTCTTCAAAAGATGGAGGAGAAACAACCAACACAATTTTTAAGAGACAGACTGCGAAAGAAGAGAAGGTTGCTGGTTACAGTCCAGAATTCAACTGTTTTGGTCAGATACCAAAACAGATAGTTGAGGAGCCATGGTGGGACTCATGGTTGGCTTATGGTTCAGGGCCTTGTCTTTGGCCATCGTTGGCCACCTTTGTCGTCAGTGCTCATGAAGGGGTGGGGTAGGGCGAGACAGAGACATCCTGTAGACAATCCATCCTAGATCTTGATAAACAAGATGGCGGTGATGACCGAGAAGCCGCACAGCATCACTATAACCTTGCCGATGCGCTGGTCGCCAGAATTCAGTTCGTGAGGGAGGATCTCCAGGAAGGTGATGTACAAGAAGGTGCCGGTGGCGATGCCCTCCAGGACACTGCGAGCAAGTTGGTGCAAGGGGTTGGAAGACTCCGTCAGGGCCACGCCAAGGCCGATGCCCAGAGGAGTCATAAAGGAGAAGAGCAGAAGGCAAACCAGGATGACCCGAGGGCGCAGGCGGCCCTGGCCCAACTTTAAGGTCAAGCTGAAGGAGATGATGCACTTGTGGATGAGGAGTGCCAGACAGGTCTCAAGGACCTTCCCGCTCTCCCGCAGGAGGCCAACCGCCAAGCCCTCCAGGATGGAATGCAGAGAGAGCGACACGACCAGGATGACCGCACGCACTGCCGAGTGTGCGTTGACATCCACATGCACGTGCGGCTGGTCTGGGCCAGAGTGGCGGACCTCCGAGGCCAGGAGGGAGTGCGTCTCTTCTGACCAGCCCGGCTGGTCCTTGTAGCTCAGCACGATCTGCTCCATGACCAGAACCAGGAAGAACCCCATGGCCAAGATGAACTCCTGAAGCGGGAACTGGAGCTACGTGGGGGGAAAAAGGGATATTATTTTATAGAACGTTACCAGAAGTTGCACCACAAGCGCCACACTATGGTTGGTGTTGGGATGAATAGAAGCGACATACTCACCGTTATATTCAGCTTGCTGAACGCCTCACCGATGCTGGAGAGGTAGTCAGGCAGCAGGTCCAGCAGACAGGTTGCCAGGAAGACGCCGCCGGCAAAACAACTGATCAAGCTTAACGCTCTGTGACGGGTACCTACAAAGACATTGAAGGCACAACTCAGAAACTACATCCAAACTAGAACGGTCCCTGCGCAATTCTTTTCTAGGAAGCCCCTTGTCATCATCATCATCCTCCATGTTCTTTATACTGAATAGTGAGACTTCCATTTTCTGAAGCCTACAGTTGATCTTCTACTACTGCCTGCTGACACACCTAGAAGGAGACTGTCATGGCGGCTCCGTGGAGCATTCATAGACAGTGGGAAAGTATACAGGTCACTCATGGCCCCTTGCCTGCTCTTCCAGTCTAAGTCCCTCCCTCGCTGGTCCCGGTTCTTACTCAAGATGTCGCTGCTCCCCTGACGTCGGAGGAGGAAGAGGGGGATGAGGCCGCTGATGAGAGTGAGGAGAAGTAAGGTAACCAATGAGCCGATCTTCACCTCCAGGTCGGTGACGAAGGGGGAGGAAGAGGCCTCCAGGTCTGGGCTCCACACTATCCTGGCCAGGCCTCCTTCCATGATGGCACCAGCACTGGGGAGAAAAAACACAACGGGCATCAGACGTCACCATTTTCTGATTGCACATATACTGTGGGGGGGCGAGCAAGACAAGAGTCTGGGAAAAGGCCAGGGAAGGGGCTGATGGGTGGAGGGGGAGAGTAATATGTATAGGAAGGGGTTGGAGGGAATCAGGGTAGGAAGAGGGCAGTATGTTTAGAAGAGGGTAAGAGGGATGGGGAGGAAGTGATAATGGGGGTAGGAGGAGGGTGCAATGTATAGGAGGGCTTGGGGACAGGAGAGGGGGGTAAAAAGAGGGCAGTATGTATAGGGTGAGGTAGGAGGGATGGAGATAAAGTGTTAATGGGGGTAGGAGGAGGGTGCAATGTATAGGAGGGTGTAGGAGGGATTGGGAAGGGGAGAGGGGGTAAAAAGAGGGCAGTATGTACAGGAAGGGGTAGAAGAGATAAGAGATGGGGGAGGAAGTGGTAATGAAGATTGGAAGAGGGCAGTATGTATAAAATGGGTTAAGAGGAATGGGGGGTAGGAAGAGGGCAGTAGGTATAGGAGGGATGGGGATGAAGTGTTAATGGGGGTATGAGGAGAGGGCAATATGTAGGAGGGTTTGGGAAGGGGGATAAAAAAAAAGAGGGCAGTATGTATAGGGTGGGGTAGAAGAGATGGGGGAGGAAGCGGTAATAGGGGTAGGAATAGGGCAGTATGGGGTATGGAGGGAGGGTGATGGTGGTATTAGGAGGGCAGTATCTATGAAAGGGGGTATGAGGGATGGGAAGGTAACGGGGGTAGAAAAATGGTATTATGTAGAGGAGGGATGAGGGAATAAGTGCTAATGAAGGTAAGGGTGAGATGTATAGGCGGAGGTAGGAGAGATGGGGGAGGGGAGACGGGGTAGGTAGAGGGCATGGTGTATAGGAAGGGTAGGAAAAGAAGAGGCAACAGGGGTACTAAATATACAGTTATACTTTAAAAAGAACCAGTTAAGCATGGGCAATTGTCAGAATCTGAACCTTCATTGTTATAGACCAGGGGTAGGCAGTCTTGGCACTCTGGTGTGGAACTACAAGTCTCGCCATGATTTGCAAGACTGACATCCCCATGCATGAATTGCAAAGGCATGATGGGATTTGTAGTTTTGCCACATCTAGCGTGCTGCTCAGGAATGGCTCTTTGTGCTTTTATTCCCTTGTATCTTCTCCCTGTCACAGCAGCCATGTAGGGCTGTGAGGACCCCCCCTGGAGGTCTCCTGGCTGAGCTAAAGGCTGATAATTGACACTCTGTCCATCTTCCAGGAGGTTGTATGACAGTCAGCCTTTGCTTTTCTATTGGGGGGGCTGAAAGCATGATATGGTTGCTGCGACAAGCATAATAAAAAGGGAACAACAGCACACGGGTGAGGCTGTATTATTAGAACAATATAATAGCGAAGATTGACATTATTACAGGTAACTATTGGTCACGTGTTCTCTTTAAATTAGATCCAGACAGGCCAACTTTAACCTCACTCTCGCTCTACCTGAGCTGTGGGCGGTGCTATCAGGCGGCAGGCCAATGAGCGATCTGCTTACCCCACACTAGAGGCCGAACTCTGTCTACTACACTTACACGGCGGAGGTCTCCTGAAAAATGGCCGCCCGGTACCGACACTAGCTAACCGACTAATACCCGGGCAGAGGGGCAAATACAGGACTGTGTGCGGGCAGGTGGGAGTCATGTGGGGTTGGGGGAAGAGAAGAGGGGCTTGTGGGAGGAGGATGGAAGGAAGGGGTGGGATGTTGGTGATAAGTGCGCTATATATGGGGGGTGGGTGCTAGATATAGGGTAGAAATGGGGCATGATGGTATTATACCCGGTACACGCCGTGAGGTGGTCGCTGTGGACGGGGGCAGACAAGCGCAAGTCTCTCCTCGGTTCTTCCGTGGCTCCTCCTCCCTCCTGTTTGCAGTGCGCATGCTCGGAACAGCCGCCATCTTGGTACACCCGAAAGTGGGCGGTGCTGAGCTATTAAATAGGCGGTGAAAGCCCCAAACACGCGCAGTTGCTTGTGATAGACCCGGTGGGTGAGTTTTATTTCCAGCCTCAATAAGGTGTAATACCCCGAGCGGGTATTTACTGGTTGTTTCCATTGAACACTGCTCAAATGTCTCATTTATCTAAGCCTACTTATGGATTCTAAGGGGATGGTCATGACTGGTACCTAATCCCCCTCATGTCTCTAGAGGGGGGTGGTCATGTGGCTGCAAGATAACACCGGTCACTCTTTGCCCCCCCCTCCAATGTTCAGCAGCTATAAATTGCATGCACTGCATGAAACTCACCACTGCCCCTCCGTCGCAGACCGCCAACATCGCCCAGTCTCAAAACCGCTCTATGGTCACTTTAGTTATGGGGGGATTCTATCGGGTTGCGATGTCTCCTGACTACTTGGAACAGCGCGGCACCCCGGCGCTGAGATTTGTGCCCCTGAGTTCCCAACTCCGCCTCCCTTGCTGTGTTCTTAACTCCACCCCCTGCTGATAGCTAATTTGTATTCATGGAGACTGAAGCAGCAGGAGGAGTGAGACACCATGGCAGAGAGGGACAGACATGTGTCCACCTGTAACAAGTGGCAGGGAGTGTCAGGATGGGGATCGCCTGTCACAACATTCCTGGAAGCGCCGGGGACTTGGGGGCAGGGTCCGGCCTGGAGCTTGATCAGTACTGAAGGCTGTGACCCTGTTGTCCACCCTCCAGGATTTTTCCTCTGCTGCCCTCTTTAACCCTCCGCCTTTTGCCTGCAGGTCTCTGCTCCGTTGTGTCCACCATGGCTGGTTGGAACAATCTCAGCACCAGGCAGAAGGTGGCGGTGGCCCTCGGCGTGTCTGCAGGTGCCGCGGTGCTCTGTGTCTGCTACGTCAAGTACCGCAGCAGGAGAGGTAATGAGTCCGGAAGGTTTTTCTTTTCATAGCCCCCCTTCCTGCTGAACCCCTGTGTCTTTGTCTCCTCCCACAGCGCTGGAATCTCCAGAATGCCCAGAGGACACCTGTGAGCTTCGATTTAAGATTTCCGAACATGGGGTGAAGCGACTCACGGCAGATGGAGATGACATCATCGGTCAGGTGAAGTCCGCGCCCTCCCCTGTGACCTTCCAATGGTGGGCACTACCAGTCGGAGCACTGGTATTAGCTGATTGGATAGTGGCATAGCATGTGTGTAGGGGGCGGCATACAGTAGGGAGATTTTTAAAAATGGCGTATGCTTGTCAGCATTATTGCCACTCAGACGTTCTTGCACGGGGTGCTGTGCATCTAGAGAAATGCGTGGTGGTGCAGTATTACTGCTGCACTTGGATTGATCATGTGACATAGCAAGGGCAGAGCCACTAATTTTGTAGCATTTCAGGAGGTGTACTAGGACTGATCATGTGACATGGCAAGGGCAGAGCCACTATATTGTGCCATTTCAGGAGGTGCACTGGGGACTGATCATGTGACATAGCAAGGGCAGAGCCACTATATTGTGGCATTTCAGGAGGTGCACTAGGACTGATCATGTGACATGGCAAGGGCAGAGCCACTATATTGTGGCATTTCAGGAGGTGCACTGGGGACTGATCATGTGACATGGCAAGGGCAGAGACACTATATTGTGGCATTTCAGGAGGTGCACTGGGGGACTGATCATGTGACATAGCAAGGGCAGAGCCACTATATTGTGGCATTTCGGGAGGTGCACTGGGGAATGATCATGTGACATAGCAAGGGCAGAGCCACTCATTTTGCAGCTCGTTTTGTAGCATTTCAGGAGGTGCACTGGGGACTGATCATGTAACATAGCAAAGAGCCACTATATTGTGACATTTCAGGAAGTGCACTAGGACTGATCATGTGACATAGCAAGGGCAGAGCCACTGATTTTGTAGCATTTCAGGAGGTGCACTGGGGATTGATCATGTGACATAGCAAGGGCAGAGCCACTCATTTCATAGGATTTTAGTTGGCCTGGAATGGGCCTCTCAGTCAGTACCTACTGGACAGAAGCAGGTGAGGATTAGCTATAAAGTGTTGTAATAATCCCTGCAGTCTTTAGAGCTCACTTGGAGGAGGGGCTGTTTTTTTTTGGAGCTGGTTCCTGTACTGCCTTCTTTCTTCCCCCGCAGTTCTCAAAACAGACGGGAGCTCGTATTGAGCTGAGCCAACATACGGACTCTGACGGGTTTCGGGAGCTGACGATTAGAGGGAGCCCCGACCAGATCCGCCAGACCAAAGAGCTGCTCGCGAGTGTCTTTAATGATGATACCTTGATACAGGTGGAGATGCACCTACCTGACCGATACGTGTGCCGGATTATAGGTAGGTTTCCGGGAAGCCCGTCATAAGGTGGGGAGGGGCTATTATAAGTCCTGTGAATGCGTATATTCCATCTCGTGATGCTGTCCTGGAAGACTAATGGAAATAGAGTTACCGGTAAGTCCTAACTCTGAATATTGAATTGATCAGGGACCCGTCTTGTTTCTTTTTTGCTACTGGACGGTAAGCTGAATGTCCCACCGAAAAGTTATTGTTTACTTCTGCACATGGCAGAACTTTAACATTTATCCATGTAAAGAGAACCAGTCTCGAGCGGTTGGAATTGTGCTACATTGAGTCGTAAGGTTTTCCGTTCATTGATGGACACAACAGAGATCTTGAATTTCTGACCATTGGGTTATAGTGCCACCTTCAGGAATAGCACAATAAGCAAAAAAAACATAAGCACAGCCAAGGGGCGCCCCCTGGTGGTGGCCAGATCCCCCATCCACTAAAGGCAGTTCCGCTTTTCTTCGTCTGCTAGAGGCAGTTCAGTTGTTCACTAATTGGAGTAAGGATGCTGCAACTGCACCACCGGTAGTTCCGCCCCCAGGGCTGTTCAATGGCTGTGCCAGGGAGGAGTTAAAGAACTGAACAGGCACTGCCATGGACCGCTATTTGCAGGTGCCCAGCAGGCTGCCGAGGTTCCCACAAGCACAGGAACTAGGACAGCTGCTGCTGTTTAAAAAAAATTTAAAGGGCCGGTATCGGCCTTAAGAATCGGGGCATTTTCAGGAGTACAAGACTTGTGAAAATGCCTGGTGTCGGCCCCCGGTACTAGTATCAGTATTGGGACATCCCTATAGAATACCTGTTAGGTGTCATTAATTGGTACTTCTCATCTTCCATATGATTGGTTTCAGGACCAGGAGGACAACAAATCCAAGACATAAGTAAAACTTCTGGGGCCAAAATCCAGTGTGAGCGCCAGCCAGAGAACAGCTTGGGTCCAGCGAGGTGCATCACCATAACTGGATCATGGGGGCAAGTGGAGGCCGCCAAGGTGTGTAAGT